CTGTCACGAAGCCGCTGTGTCTGTTTTTGCAGAATGAAGTCATTTAGCGAAGACAGCGCTGCCGTTTGTCAGCTCTGTTGCTCTTGCAGAGGCTGAAACCAATGGCAACAGCGGCTCTGTTTGGCCACAAGTGCATCTCGCCGCGCGATTTCTTTTTCACAGCCAAACACGTCTCTGTCCTTTCTTAGCCTGCTGCGGAGGAAGGCCAACGTCAGCCAGAACAAAGACCGGAGAGCCTTGAGGACGGACGGACCTTGGGCTTCACTCACTCACTCACTCACTCACTCACTCACTCACTCACTCACTCACTCACACACACACACACACTGGGCCGCGTACCGCTGCGCAGCTCCCGTCTTGATCATCGCTGACCTTCACAAATGCCCGTTTTCCTTACAAGAAAAAGCCCCACCGCCTGGAGGGCCGATTCAGTTCGGCTCTCAGTCTTCCTTCCCGCGTTGATGTACGCATTCCAGTGAGCACGCTGAGCTCTTGCGGCCTCTTGAGAAAAAACTGAAGCTCGATTGTTTGTTCTGCCAGGCTTGCCCGAGCCGATTTAAATCCTGATGAGGAGGAGCAGCAGCAGCAGGAAAAAAAAAAGGCATCCAATTTAGACCTTAATGAGGGCCCCTCTTGCTGTTTTAAACAAACATCCGGGAAACCTCCTCTTCTGTTGCCAGCTGCGTCAAACCAATAATACTACTAGCATCAAATGTAGGATGGCCATAATCTTTAAGCATGACCAGGGGGTGTTTTGTAATTAGCCACTTGTTGATATCTATATTAATTACTCTTAAGACTGGAGAGCCATCATTTACATCTGAAGGTTTCGTGAGTTTGCCCCCGGTTACTGCGGGCGTGGCAAGGCTGGGCACCCGGAATCTCTGCCATTGCAGGACTTTGAACCTGAATTGGTCCTTAATTGCTTAACGAACCCAGGCGCTACTTTGACGCACTCTGATACTTAAGGACTGGTTGGAGAGAAGACCTTCAATGGCCTATGAGCCAGGTGTCAAGGATGACCACTCGGGTCGTGTGTGTTGTTCAGTTTTGCCCCATAAGGGCAGAGCACTGCAGGCAAAATACAAAGCATAAATAAGGAGCAAAGCAACCCACAATGCTTTTGCGATACTCTGTAATTAATGACTTACTCTGTAAGTAATTACATGGACAAGGGTCTCCTCTCTCTGATGGCGATTATCAGACTAATCACCATCATCACTCATCACTACTACTGATTAAAAGTGGATGAAACCACCGATATCGACAGCTGTTTCAGCACGGCCGGCTTTTCCCACGAAGCTCCGCGTCTTCGGAGGTATGACCATCGGGATCAGATCCGCGCCTTGGAAAGGTTACCATGGATACTCCATTTCCATCTCTGCACGTCTGACGCGACGGAATTTCTTTTTACAATGGAAAAGGCTACTTGCGCTTTTATCTGGGGGGCGGAAAGAGGGATGACTTCGCATGAGGGCAGCAGCTATCGTTTGGACTTTTGAAAACTTCTTTTTTTTCCCCCTCTGCTCTCAGGGGCCGTCTGGCTGTGAAAAACTGGGCCGGACTGATTTGCGTGGCTGACGTTGAAGAGACAGGACTGGATCCTCTGGCTCAGCATGGGTGCAGTTCTGTCAGTCAGGTGCTGTTGGCAGGCCTGCGAGCCGCGGGGTACCTCTCAGCCTGTTGGACGGGCTGAAGACCTTGAGAGACGAACCGAATGGTCTCCTTTTCTAACAACTGACTGGCCTTTTGTCGGCGAGAGTTTAATTGTATCTAGGTGCGTCCTGCATTAACTTATTTCCCCCCCCCATTCATCAGTTCAGAATGAACAGTGACACGTAAACTACTGGGCAAAGGGGGACACGCATTTAAATAGGGGACAACCCAGCTTTACATCAAGAGTGGTGGGAGCGTGGAACGAGCTGCTCAGCTATGTTGAGGACA